TTGTGAGGGAAAATCCCTTTATTCATCCTAATGAGGAAGGCTGGGAGTTACTAAAACGTAACGTGGAAATTACTACTGGGAAATGTTTTACCATTCGTACACTTAAGCAGCATTTGTTACTGCTCATAGAGATATGGTTGAAGAAAGATAAAATTGATACTGTAAGGTGCGTACAAGATAGAAGGAAAATGTAATAGGATGTACTTTCCTTACATAATCTGTGTTACTAATTTTAATCTGTTCACAGATCCGGAATCGAGGGCACATCTTCTGAAAAAGACACACTTTTGTGCCGCGAACACCAATTTTTTGGTGTTCAGAAAAAAAAAGAAGTTCTCGAGAATCCCAACTGCTAGAGTTGGGAAAAAAAGCACGACTAACTTATGCCGCTACGTATGCTGAGGAAAATAAAGAAAATGAGGCATGTGGTGTAGAAGAATCTTTAATTGTAAACACAGAAGAGGTTGTGGAATCGGAATGTGTTTTTATTGACCATGATTATGGTATGTACTCATAATCTTACTTCTTTCTTTACATCATTATTAAATTTGTAATTTTAGATACTATTACGAGTGGTTTGACTGGAGCAACTGTAACCAAGCAAAAATTGCTTGAACCTACACCAGGCCCATCAGGACGACAGGGTAATCATATTAAGAAACTTATAATAATTGGTCTCGTTGTTTTTTGCTAACATTATATTGAATAAGATTCTTAACTATATTTGAAAAAGTTTGTAATTGCCTTGATATGTTTACTATTAATTCTTATTTTAGACCAGTCTTCAAATGATATGGGCACATATGAATATACCGAAAATCCACTCCAAGAAAGCACTGTTGATAAAAGGAATGTTAAAACGCCCAAGGGTGTATTATGTATGTATACATGTCATCACATAATCTATCTTGTTAAACCCAATATAATCAAAAGTTGGATGTACATTTGTATTATTGATAAAACAATATTTTGTTTTGGAAATGCAACACCATTGTTTCAAGCATTACTAAATACCTACATAGGAAAACCGCCTCTTTGTGCAAAATTTGTAAATTGCCCAGCTTTTCTTGTTTTTCCTTTTTGATATATAACAAAGTATTGCGCAGAGATGTATAGGTCTGAGTATTAATTACATTATATTTTTCAGTGCCGCCACGACAAAGAAAAAGAGATCCATTACGCAAGCATGCGTTAACATACCTCAATGAAAAATCAGAAAGGGAAACAAGTATTAAACGTAGAGAGTTGGCGCTGGAAGAAAGAAAAATTGAGCTACAAGAACGTAGGTTGAATTTGGAGGAAGCAAAATTCGAACTAGATAAACAAAAAGTGGCAGTAGAGTTAGAGGAGCGAAGGGAACATCTTGATCTTCAGCGAAAGCATCTAGAAATTTATTTAAAGGACAAGGAGGCAACAATGAATATAATTCATGTACAACAAAAACTCTTAGATACATTAACAAAGCAGTGTAATCAATAATCATGTAATAAAATAAGTAGTAAATATAGTAATAACATTAGGACCTTATGTGATATGATAATAAAATTTAATAAAAAGTATGATTTAAAAAATGTGCTTAATCACCAAAGTATTGTTCCAAAATTGGAGGAGCAACATTAAAATAACTAGAAACCTGATGGCCATAAAGACATGTGTGAGCATTTGTGAGTAATACTGCTACTTTACAAAATAACTCTAAATCTTGCAGCAACAGTTTTTGATTTTTTTTAAAATCTATGAAAGCCCATTGTGAAATAATTTTAGAAAATCCCCATTCAACAGCTATTCTCAATGTTTTCATAATTTTTTTTATGTTACAAACTTGAGTTTATGTCTATATAAAATCAACTTGGATACATTAACAATTATACAAGTAAATAAAATAAAATTACTTTTACTATTGTGTTGTGGTATGAACAATATTTTTTACCTGAATATTGCCGCATCATGTCGTCGACCAGGAAAGGCGCCAATAAAACTGGCAATAATACCATCAGGACAAATAACACTTTGGTATTTTAGGCAGTGGTGTTTCTTATGTCCCGAGTAATATTCTTCCTGATCAATCAAGGGACGACATATTCCACGAGTTGTGCCATCTATGAACCCCCAACAATTGTGAATTGCACCTCCTTTATTATAAATTGCCTAAAAGAATACTGTTAAATTGTGTTATCTGTGGTTTAATGCATGAATGTAACTACAAATTATCACTAAGTTAACAATCATAATAAAAATCTAATATAATTATTTGTACACTACCTCATAAACCAAAGTGAATAAAATAATAATGTATTATATACACTTACATCTGCATAAACTGCCATTCTCTCTCGGTTTAACCATTCGAGATTGTTTAGTTGATCTAAAAGATTGCCTCTCTCTCTTAATATTATACTAATTGTGGTATTAATAATTTGAGAAAGTGATTGGGAAGACATATTAAAAAATGCCTTGAGATCAGCTAATCGACATGGATATGCCATCCGTTTCAGAAGAATAAGCAGTGCTGTAAATCCTACAAAAATGTTAAAATTAGCCTAAATAAGTTGTGGCATTACATGTATAATAAAGCCCATCAATTACAACTTGTGGTTTATTTGTACTTACCATCGACTCTGTTCCTAGTGTCTGTCACAATCACATTAGGGATATGAAGAACATGAAATAATCTTGGAAGATCTGCTCTTGAAAACCGAAAGTTTAGCAACACCTCTTCCTCAGTTAAGGTATTAAAATCGAAAGGGGGCCCTTGGTTGACTTCTTCGCGATTAACGAAAATATTATCCATAATGACATACTCATAATCATCATCTGCAGCGTCACCCAGAATAAGAGCTTCCAAAACTTCTTCCATTGCATCCACAGAAAATAAATAAATACTCAATCATAAAAAATTTAAATAATTTGAGGTTAGAAATAAATAAATACGTTGAGTGTTAACTGCTTGTAAACTGTCACATGCAATAACTCAATTTGTGCTGTCAAAAATAAGGTAGTTCCTTATTATAGTAAGGCAGTATTTAATTAAGGTTTGACGTTATTTATAGTATGTGTGCAATAACTCCCTAATAATGGTAAGTTTATTTAATACTAATTAATTTATTGTGGCGTTTGTTGGAATTAATTGTAATTGTTAGCAAAATTATAACAAATACTTAGGTACCTAGTTGAACGTAAAATTTTGATTTGTCATACTTTTACTATTGCTTAATTGCTATATTAAAAGACTTCAACATCGCTTTTACAATAGGTATTGAACGCATTTTAATTTTTGTGTTTTCCTCCAAATATGCCGCCCTTACAATTCAACGAATTCAAAAATATCTTTTTGGTATTAATTTTTTTTGCCATACCAAAAAGTCTTTAATTTGGAAACGTATTTTTCATTATTAATTATCTGGTTTCTCGTCTCGTTTAATAAAGATTCTCTTGTAGAATGAAAATTCTTCTTCAGCACCTTCTGAGCAATACTTCGTACGTTTTAAATATAAAAATCGAATGGAATGGGTCACTTTAACCGATATACAGCACGACACCCTAAAATTAATAGGTTGGTATATCAATACATTCAATATGTATTTTTATGCGTGCTAAAATTTTTAACTCAGATAACAGTTGTATCAATAATTGTAACATCTATAGCAGAACTGGTTAAATAAACTAGAGCACCACCCACAACTCGAAATGGTAAACATATGTTTGGTATGTAATGTCCAGTATTTAATACTCTTGATGTCAATTCCCTGTATTGTATTTTGATGTCTCAAAAGATGTTGCTAGTCAATAGTTTCTAATATACATATATTTTTTAGCGTGTAATACCTTTCCGGAAGTAATTGGGAAAGAGTTTGATCTTACAGACGTTGATGGAGCGGTGATAGGGAATAATTTTATGGCCACCTATTTAAGCATATCTCCAATTGGTGTCATAATTAAGATCAGAGTTGGACTGGGTCAACCATAGAGTGACCCAGTGACCCAGTTAGTTTACTGACCCGGTGAACAAGCTTGACCCGGTGACCCAGTTTGACCCGGTGACCCAGCTTGACCCAGTGACCCATCTTGACCCAGCTTTACTCAGTGACCCGTCTTGATCCGGTGGCCCAGTAAATAAATTATTGTTAGGTATCGTCCAAAACAATTTCAAGTAACTTTTAATTTAAAAAAAAACTTCCTCAATAATATTCGGCAACAAGCACGTAGCCCAATTTCATTCAAGAGAACTAATACCTAAAAAAATCAAATGCATTTGTTTATAGTTTGCAGTCAAGTAGTCAATGAAAGTATTTAGAGAAAAGATTTATTTGGATTAAGCTAACTAGTAGAAAAAAATTAAATGTGAATGAACACCTGTAAGCAAACTGGTAAGCCCCGAAGCAAAGAAATAACATCATTCTAATACAATTCGGGACATGGAAAGTTTTTTACGGCAGTATTAAAGCAAACATCACAGAAATAGCAGTTGTCAAGCAATCGAGTATTATTTTCAACAAACCAGCATTTCATTTATTGCATAATCTGTACACTTGAACCGAGGGCACTGATTTAACTGCGTTATTCGATCAAACTAGGTGACTGGGTCGAATTGGATCCCCGGGTGAAATTGGGTCAAACTGGGTCACTGGGTCAAACTGAAAAGAGTATGACGTGACCCAGCGACCCAGTTTAATTTAGTGACCCAGTTGACCCAGTCCAACTCTGATTAAGATACAGACAATAGAACCAACTGCAGGTATAAAACATATTAGTAGTTAATACAGGTAACTTCACCAAGTCCATTTTTAAATTTTTAGATTACGTTCTCGGCCTTCCTCTTGATACGGACAATATCTGTATTGAAAAATCTGATACATGTAGCAGCAGTAGCAGCCACACATTTTCAGTTGAGCCTGGATCATCGGCTTCGAGCAGATCAACCCTTTCATCTATAAATAGCTTTGACGACGACGACGACGTTGGGACACCTCGCACAAAAAGAGCAAAAACAGCAGCAATTCCGTACCATCGAGTTGCTCTTGAGGTAAATGCATATCAAAAAATCTTTACCAAGATAGTATGTTCATTACTTACAAACGAAATAATCTAGATTACCCTATATTTTCTCGAATTATTACAATTTGCATCAAAAATAATGTTTGCTATTTCGTATGCAATGAATGGTTGACTATTGAACTAAACGAAATGTACAATGCATACGTAATAACTGAATCAACTAGTAACACTGATGACACAATTAATATTGTAGAATTAAATAAACTTACCCATGTAATCTCATATGAACTACACAACCCATATGACTCAAATCTCTGCCTAATTGTACCAAAATATTGTATTATATAAAAACATTTCAAAATTTTGTATTTGCATTATCATTATAAACATATGAATTAAAATTTTGTATTGGTATTGTCGATCTGTCTACATAATAAGCATACATTTTTGCCCTTAGCCCTATACAAACTCGAACATTATTTTGCCATTGACCTCGTCTTTCATCAAACCGGGGCTTTTGTGTTAACCAGAGGTATGCCAAAAGCGTTATTAGGACTATAAGCCGAAGTATCAAATCGAGCAACGTTATCTCTTATCGACTGATAAATGTCGGAAACTGCAAATGAGTATATTAAGGACGTCCTTATTGTTTAGCGTCCGAACCACATGTGCGCGTAAAGCTAGCTCTACGATTATTGGTTTGATTCACCGAAACCCCTGTGTAAGTAGATTAGCGTATGGTGTCATCCATTTTGTAAACTTGTATTGAAATTTTGATATTTAACGGGGTGGAGATTAACGTAACTGGGGATTTTTAGGGGAAGGTTGTTGAACTTATTAGGGTAAATGTGTATAAGAGTACGCACTTAGTAACTAAAGTAGTATAATTCTTAATTCTTTCAATGTCTATACCAGTTTTTTTAACCACTTAATACATATTAAGTAAGGACGGTATTATGTGTTTTGAGCTGTACTTTTGCTAAAATTGCGAATACTTAGTTTTTTTTTTAAACTCTACAAATGCGTACTCTGATACACACATATGTGTAAGAGTACGCATCACAGCGCTTAAGAGTACGCGACCTATAAACGTGATATTTTGCTTATTTGAAAGTTTAAAACGAGTAGGTATTGAAACCATGTAGATGCAACACTAAGTTTTTATTAATAATTAAATTAGCCCTAGTCAATAGATAGGGTAAACGACACAGTCGTTGGCACTTATACAGTTATTGGCACTATCTACATAAATTCGTATAAAATAAGAATACCCATAAGGAAAAAATTAATATTTATTTTCCTACATGTAGTGACATCTGTCGGGCGTAGCCGGTATAATTACCATCAGTCCATTGTCAGTATTACAGTATAAAATGGTGGTCCGTTATTAACCTTGTTCAACCAATTAATTAATAAAATCAAAGTATAATAAAAACCTATAATGTTATTATTTTCTATGGGCTATCGATTTCGCCTTATAGGGCTTCATCAGGCCGTAGCTGAAATACATATATATGGTGAACGCGTGAATTTTTTAACAATTTATCTTACCGTCTGCTGAATTACATTTTTTAACAAGATGGAAATGTATGATGTAAATGTCCATATTTTTATATAAAATTGAATGATGTATGTGTCTGTGTGAGCGCAGAAATTGAATTAAAGGATAGTAAATCATATAACAGAAATAAATTAATTACTTACATGTATTAAGTGCAGTGTGTGTGTATCAGTATGTGAGGTTATGTATGAGGCAGTGGCGTGTTATGTGAATGGGCAACGTATTTATACAGATGATTATCATTGAATTCAGTTATGTCATTTATTAATTTGAAATTAGGATCTTGTAACGCTTTGTGAATTTCATAGTGTTCTAGTATTGTTAATTTCTTGTAATTGTTGGTTTTGTGTAGAATTTTTGTATTGTCTATTGATATTGTGTGTTTTGTGTTATTTATGTGGGTACCTATGGCTGAATGTGGTTTGTTTTTGTTGTGTTCGGTGAATCTTGTTAGAAATTTTCTTGTGGTTTGTCCTATATATATGCAGTTGCAATCGTTACATGTGATTTTGTATATTCCTGATTGTAAATAATGTGGTTCCTTTGGTTTGTAGTTGGTTAGAATCTTTTGTAATGTAGGGTGTGTGGTGTTAGTGAGGGTGATGTTGTAGGGGTTTAGTGCTTTTTGTAGGTGTGTATGTATGTGTTTGTAGTATGGGATGGTTATGTATTTATTGCTGTATTTATGATGTGGATATATGTTTTTGAGCAAATGTTTGTATTTGATTCTTTTAAAAATGTTATTAATGAGGGTAGGTTTGTAGTTGTTATTTTGAGCTATTTGAAGGATCGTGTTGTATTCGTTATGAAAATCTAATGGGTTTAGGGGGGTGTTTAGTAGTCTATTAAAGAGGAAGTTGAAGGCGGCCATTTTTATGTTAGGTGAGTGATAGGAGTTGTAGGGTATTATAACATCAGTGGTAGTTGGTTTCCTGTATATATTGTATGATATGTGGTTGTTATTGTTATATAGAGTGATGTCTAGAAAGTTAAGTGTGTTATTTGATTCTGTTTCTAATGTAAATTTTATGTCTGAAATATTGTTAATAGTTGTGTGGAAGTGATGAAGTTGTTCTATTGTCCCACTCCAAATGACAAATATGTCGTCTACATATCTTAACCAGGTGGTAACATGTTTGAAATTTGGTAGATTTTTAATTCGAAGTTCAAGGTGATCAATAAAGATGTTTGCTAATAGTCCACTTATGGGATTTCCCATAGGTAGACCGTCTTCCATTTTGTAAGTTTTATTGTTAAACATGAAGAAATTTAAGTTTGTGACATGTTGAAATAATTTTAGTAGAATATTGATGTCGATTGGATCGAGGTTGTAGTTTTTTCTGAAATCATCGTTATCATATAACAAATCTGAGAGTATCTGTAGTGTTTCTGTTTTAGGAATATTAGTGTACAAGTTTACAATGTCGAAAGATATCATTGTGAATGTTTTGTGTTGGAGTTGTAGTTTGTTAATTTCTTGAA